ATTACAGGCATGCACTACCACGCCCGGCTGATTTTTTGATTTATTGTAGAGATGAGGTATGAGGTGAAACGAAATGTTTACAGTATTATGACAACTGCCTTCTTGTTAAATGTGTATCAAAACCTTCTTATTTCTAGAGGGAAGGTCAATTGATCAGGATAAGAGATCAATGTGTAATTTTCACCAGCTTTATTCTTTAGTCCTTCAATTATATATATATATATATATATGTTTTTGGATTCCTCCTCATATATGTATGAGCTAAAGAGGAAAGATGGAATATAATACACACACAATAACACAATAGTTATAGGAAGTATATGTGTTCAAAGCAAACTAAAATTTATAAGATATCAGCACTGATAGCATGAAGGAATATTCAAAATTCAAAAACAAGTGATATATGAAACATTTGAGATGCCCTGAAGTATATTTTTAGGACTATTTTTCTTTATTTTTGTCATACTTCTAAAATATAAAAAATCTTTCATAGTATGGCTTACACTTCATAACTTGGAAGATGTAGTTCAAGTCCCAGCCCTTCCACCTACCAGTTCTGTGAACTTGGACAAATCCTGTAACTTCTCTAAATCTTGGTTTCCTCATCTACGAAATCAAGATAATCATCCCATTTCATAAGATTGTTGTGAAGATTAAATAAAATGTGGCATCAATGTGCTTAGCTTAGCTTTATGTCTGGCACATATTTTTAGAGCTCAAAAAATGTTATTGTCAGTCATAAAAATGTTAGTCAGTGTTAGACTATCAAGACACTTGAAGGTATTATAAGGCTCCATGCAAGAAATGTTTAAAAGATTGTAATTTAAATGAAGATATCAAAAATATATGCCATGTCCATGGGTTAGCATTGAAACAAAACATCACAGCATTACTTCTCTGTTCTCCAAGGTCAGTTGAAATGAGGTCATCACACCATTCTCATTGAGCCACTGAGTGTATTTTGTGTTTCCTATTTAAGATCAATGATTGCAACTATAATCCAATCCAATAGAGTCCTCAGAGTCGAAAGGACGGCAAGTAAGCACTTTGGTGGAGTTTCATGGACAACTTTGCTGTGCTTCTGCAACCTTCAGTCGATTTGGGACATGCCAGGATTAGAATCACTGAGGCACATCGGACTGAGTGGATTTTATGATGAGTACAGCTTGAATGCTATAGTGATAACATCAATCACTCTTCGCATGAGACTCCAATTTTCAGAAATGGAAGGTAGAAAATGAGGTTATTATGAGGATGAAGGAGACATGCCCTTATTTTTTTTCAGCAAGAGAAACTTGTGCTGGATTTAAGGAAGAACCTCAATGCATTAGTAGTTTGACATTATTTACATTGAAAGATGTGCAATCTCTTTGAAGGGAGTACTTAAAATATATTTCAAATTTGTTTTTTAAAGGATTCAGGATCTTTTTAAAAAATTCATGGATTAACTGTTTTCTGCCCTTTCTTCTTTATTTTGTTTTCAATGTTTAGTTCAGACTGCTATGGGACACAACTTTTAACTTTGCTTCAAGTTTTATTCTGGCTTCTCAGGTTCAGTTTCATTTGTTACAGTATTCAGTCGTAAACGATTATTTTATTTTAGCTTTTAGATTTTTTCAAGGGCTGCATTATCATTTTCTGATATAGTCATCAACCTTTTTATTAAATCAAGAAACTTTAAGAGTATTAACCCTAAGAAAGCAGAAGATTTTTTGTTTTTGTTTTACATGTCCTAACATCAAACTTGACCACTCTGTATATAACTGCTAACTAACATCCCCTGTTTGCTTTATCTTCAGGGGTGAATACAGGTATTTACTTCAGCTACCCGAGTCGACGTCACAGCTGTGCTCTAGTAAACATCCCAGCACCCTGCGTCAACAAAATGATTTCACACATTCAAGACGTGGAGTCTAAAATACAGGTGCATTTGAAAAGGGTAAGAGATTTAGGAGTATTTAAAATACTTACATTTTTCTAAGCTCTGTAGAACCTCTAAGAATCTGTTACTTAAAGAACTCAGTAAATGGTTTTGATTTTTTTTAAAAAATAATAGTTGGAATACTTTTTAGAATCATTTCCAGGTTGCATAATTTACTAGTCTAGACATGTTTTTGATAGTCTCACTTCAGAAGGGTGAAACGACCTCATTAAATAGATTTTTTTTAACCTGTTTGTTCTTTATCCAGAGGTAATCATGCTAAGTAGTAATTTCCATAAACCAACTTGTCTAGTGTATTAAATAGTATTTACATCCTTTTTGGGACACTAAACTGATTAGATGATTAAATTGGTGTATAAAAGGACAGTGTGCCCTTTTTAATGAGTTATTTTGTTCTACAGAAATGCTTAATAAGTCTGTTAAAAGAGAATATAATGATTATTTGTGTTTTTAACCTGTTAAGTTTGCTTTTGTTATTCTGAAGGGAATTCAGTCTTGAAGGCACTGTAACTTTCAATTATTTTCAAAGGATAATTTAAGAATGACAAAAAAAAAAAACCTTATACCTTTTATCAAGATTATATTTCTAAGCAACTATTACAGAATTAGACCACCCAAACGGGGGGATATATTTGCCAGAGCCATGCTATTTCTTTAAACTTTCACTGCCACTGTTATTAGATCTGGCTCAGAGAATGTTTTGATGGGCCACTCACCACTCTCTGTCTAGGATGTCATCTCTTTTAAGAGGCATCAGCGTACAGCCTTTAATATTGCAGGCTTTAGAGTTATTGTTCTGTCACTTAGATGGGAATGAAGAGATCGTGATATTGTGTTAGAACAAGTGCCAGTATAGATAGTCACTCAGTATATATTTTCCATTGTTATTTCTATATGACTTATATAGCTTTATATCAGTACTAAAATATCTCTGTTGTTTCTATATTTCTCCAAGTACAAATCCCCTTCAGAAAATGCTTTGCAGATCATAGGACTTAATGATTTTCTTGGGCCTTGAAGACTATGTTAAGGAAATAGAAGATAATGAATATTTGTTGCTATAACAGGCTGTATACTTCATGTATTTTAATTAACAATTACCCATATTGTTACAAATGATGAACCTAGATTCATAGTTGTTTTAATAAATAATTATAATAGCTACCATTTATTAAAGACCTAATATTAGTCAGACAGTATGTTTTATTAAGTAATTTATCTTAGAACTCACGAAAATTCTGTTGAATGGTTATTGCTATACCTAATTGATAGATAGGAAAATAGCTATTTAAAACCTTTCAGCAATTTGTTCAAGATCACAAGCCAGGGGTTTGAATACACCTTGTCTGTTATAGAATTCCATGTTCTTTCCCTAATCCCATTTGAAGCTCTGAATGACTGATAACCTGCTAAGCTCTATGACTAACGGGCCAGCTAAAAGATTACCTTAAATAAACTAATTTACAAAATATATTGTGATATTTTACTGCCTTTCTTCAGGAAAACTGGGGGGAAAAGGCTTTCTTATGTAAATATATCTAAGCCAACTGAATAAAGAGAAAAACTCCAAGGTAAAAAACAACAGCGATGATTTGTTTAGTGCAGCCTTCTAGGGCCTAGATCAATGCCCAATACACAGTAGGCATTCAATACATGGCTGTTGAATGAAAAAATAAATAAGACTTGAAGCACACCTTTTTTTTTTAGATATGCATGAGACATCTGCCTACCCAATATGGTAAGAGCTATCATGTACCAGACATCTACTACTTTCTTTTTCTTTTTGTTTAGAGGCAGGGTTTTGCTAAGTTAGTTGTCCAGGCTGGTCTTGAACTTCTGGGATCAAGCAATCCCTCTACTTTAACCTCCAAAGTGCTGTGATTACAGAGCTGAGCTACCATGCCCAGCTATCTACTATTTTCTGGGAATCTAATAAATATCCAGATTTTATATTTATCCTTTATAGAAATCCTACTTTACAGATACGGATTCTAGAACTTAGAAAAGTCAAATAATTCACATGTCATTGCACTGGTCAAAAGCACTAGACCTGGAATTTGACTTTAGTTCCATATGACTCCAACACCTATTTCGGCCTCTGTTTTGTGTTCCTAAAGAATGGAGACCTTAATTCTCATTACAGAGAATGATAGTTGGTATTTTAACAAGAAGCACACAAAATAACAATTTCAGAAAAGTACACTTACAGACAGCTGCAATAATAATAATTATGTGTTTACTACTAAATAAGTATGATATACATAAATTTTATCTTAAAGATTTACTGTGAAAATAAATGCTAATGGAAAACTTTTTGTTAAATTTCAAAGTTATTCTGTAGATTTTCTACTTTTAAAAAATTATTTTATGTTGTTTTTATTAGTAACTATTTGATTGATAGATTTCCTAGTGCCGAGCTTGTGAATAGAGAATATTTACTTATGCTTCCTATGCTGAATTTTTAAACTTAGATCATCACAACTAGTCATTAAATATTTAGTTACCTATATAATATTTGAATTAATATTTTAGAAATGAACTGGTAGCTAGCTATGTTTTTGAAGAATGAAAAAAAAAATTTGGTTTCTGACTAACCAACCCACCACAATGAAAAAAACAACAAAAAACCTTCCCATTTATCACCTGGAAAAATGAATTTTGATAATATTAGTTAGACAACCTTACATTGACATAGGAACTTATATTTCTTCAAGAATTAAATTTTTCAAAATTATGCAAAATGACTGGAAACAAATCTTTAAAAGATAACTTCTGATTTTTTTTTAGTGGCAAAAGCTAATAGGACCTATTATTTTCAAATAAGTAAATACATGTGAATATTTACTGAAAGATTTGTATATGATATTTTCCTATAAGTCATAATTCAGGATTAGTTAACCTAAACATATATCCTAGTTTTATGTACAGTGGGTTACTTGTGTCAGAAACATTTAAAATGAATAATTACCCTGCAGAAAATACTGAATTTCTGTGAATCAGAGTCTGGGCACATTTTAATTCCAGAATCCTTGAGTGAAATACAGGAAAGTATATTTTATTTCAACATTTGTGTCACTTAGCATTTTACAAAATATTTTTTTTTTACCCAATTTATTGTAACTTTGAATAGAAACAGAACATTTTTTCATTTGTATCTTGGGGTGTGTGTGTGTGTGTGTGTGTGTGTGTGTGTCAGTATGTATGATAAGAACATATTGGTATATATACATATAGATCAGCGATCAGAAAAATAATATCAATAACAATGAAAATAAAGCTAATACTTAAGAAATGCTTGCTATATAGCATAGATGATTTATGAAACAATATACATAATGTCCTTGTCTTCTTATCAAAGATATATACTGAGGGATATGTTTTATACTCTGCCTAACCTATAGGAACAGTTAAAAGGGTCCCCCTCCTGAACCCCCAGCCCTAGGTAGGTACTAGATAGAGCCTAGAATTGTAGGCGATGAATACGAATAGCATTAGGTAGGTATAATCAGGGGGGTGGATATGATCGCCTCCAATCCCACACCCTATCTGATACTTACCTAGTTCCCAAGGTTAAGCAGAGGACAAAACAAAGTTGAGGAACACATTTCCTCATGTTGTTATCAAAACCTGTGAGGCAGAAACCGTCATTATCCCGTTACAGACAGAGAAAATAATTTCAGAGATTGGTTTCCCCAAGGTCACACAGTCAGTGGCAGAGCCAGCATGTAGACCAGGTGTCTAAGCTCTAGGCACATCCTATTCACCTTCATGCTATGATATCTATTCCTGACAACGTGTGAGGACCCAACACAGGAATATTAAAATACTTTGAATTTTAATTTTAAAAACTTGACTTTCTTTATGCTATTTCACGTGTGATTTTAACTCGAAAACCTGGCATTTAATCATCTGATTTTCTTTACTAAATTTCTGATACTTTGAGTTCTCTCATTCTGTAAACTCTATATTTTGCTTAAAATTTGTGAGTACTTCAAGCCTTGACATATCCACTGTTTCCTATTTCATCATCTCATTTTTCTTTACTTTCTTGTCTAATTGTTCATCCCTTAAAACACTTGGCAACTGGCATATTTGGTCCCTTAATTTTTTTTTTTTTTTTTTGAGTTGAGTCTCTGTAACCCAGGCTGGAGTGCAATGGCACACTCACGGCCATCCCAGTGTCGACCTGCTGGGCTCAGGCGATCCTTTCGCCTCTCAGCCTGCCAAGTAGCTGGAACTACAGTGCTGCCATGCCTGGCTAATTTTTTAATTTATTGTATAAATTACCAAGTTGCCCAGACTGTTCTCGAACCTGTGGGCTCAGGTAATCTACTTACCCTGGCCTCCCAAAATGCTAGGATTACAGGCTTGAGCTACCGTGCCTGGCCAGTCCCTTAATTCTTTTTCATATAGTCCTTCTAATCTGACAAAATGTCATCCATAAACCTCTCTGATGGTCTGCCATCTCCACGCCCCCACTTCAACAGTACTGAAAAACATTACACAATCATCTATACTTGAGATATGCAACTTTGGTCTCCAACCTCAATGGAGCCTCTTATAGTACTCTGAAATTATTCTGTTTGTCAACAAGAACTTTTTCTAGGATGTTACAGTGGCTACTCGAATGCTTCTTTATTCAAGCATTTATATACTCTATCTTACAACCTAGTCGTTTCTTTCTTTTCAAAGAAAATAGAACCTATAATAACAGAAATGCCTCAAATTTTATTCTCCCATTTGTGAACATCCTGGAACTCCATAAATATAATAATAATTATTATTTTTGTCTTCCCATGGAAGATTTTCTCCTGCCACCTACAGCTTCTTCCCTCACTGCATTCCTAAGAACATTTTTAAGATCCCATCTATACCTTAAAAATATCTCCCCTTTTCTCATTTTTTCCCACTCCACATAGCATCTGAAAAGAGCTGCCTGAATTTAGTCTCTCCAATTCTTCACCTCCCAATTATTCATTTATTTATTGCAATCTGGA